AGGCAATTGCTCCGTAGTATAGCTCGCCTTAATCGACAAAAAGTGGGCAGGCTTAGTCATCATATCCACGAAAATCTAAACAGAATCAAACTAGTCCGAGTCTTCGGCAATCTGAGAGCAAAATATCAGATTATATCCCTTATGTTAGGATTATCCCCATAATGTGATTTTCTCCTAATTGTAAAAAATATACTCTTTAATCTATGAAAATTCCTACCATGCCTCCCCAATGGTTTTCAATATATATACATACATATATATATATATATATATATATATATATATATATATATATATGTTGTCATGTACTCGCTTGTACCGTTTCCAATATTATCCTCGTGAAGTCGCAAGAACTCCGATGAACGTTTCTCTAATTCGACTTTTCATGACCTTGTGTCAATACACGTCCAATATCCACATACGGAACATCGCAATAATTTTCCAACTCACTTTCAGAACTTAAAAGAATCAATGCTAAAGTAGTTATTGATGTCTCCATAAATTTCAATAATATCCTTCACACTCGTGAGTTTACACAAATGGAATGCCCTTCCTGGCAAACACGATAAGGACCATATCATTCGATAGAATCTTTGAATGAACCTTCGGTTGAAACCTATTAGCCAAGAGAACTCCTGATTTCTGAGATATGCTTAGACCGTTCACAATCCACAACTGCCTCTATTTTACTAGGTCCTACGCCACTCTATCAATAGAGTTGACATGATCCACGACATTTACTTCACGCACTAGTATAAGTAAGTTTGGGTCCTATTCCATTACTCTAGTCTTGTCTTGACTTACTATTTCCGTAAGTCATTACACTTAGAAAACAAATCCTAAGTCTTTACACAATACAACATCATACCCATGTCCATTTCATTCGATGCATACTAATCAAAATATCCATTCGCATAGTAGCATACCTTAATTCACGTACACCTGCAAAATTAACAATTCAAAGACAAGGTGAAATACTTCCACACAATAACATACCTCGGTTCGCATAGCACCTGCAAAGTCAGCAGTAAATAAAGGGTGAAATAATATCATAACTTGCAGCAGTTCTTGACATATATTATCAATTTAGTACCTTCAAAGGTGTTTACATGCAATATACACATGCAACAGATCAATATTTTGCATCTTAACTTAAAGTCATAGAGATCACTTAACCCACATAATAAATAGTACTTGCACATATCTTGCACATACCCGATCACACGTGGCATTGTTATACAATCTAGTATATTATACACTTAACTCCATTGTTGGAATTTTCATTTATCCCTTAGCTTTACTTGAAGTCACCTTAGAATCGACATTTGCACCTTGACCCACTTGAGGGTTTCCTTTCTATTAAGTGGCTATAGGGTGTACCCTATGTAATGAAAGGGGTGCCATAATCATTGCCTCATATGCTAAATAGATAGACAGCTCTGGAGAGAAATTTTTTAGCTTCCACATCTCCTAGTTTCTGCCTTAATTATTTGCTAACTTTTGTGAAGTGATTTGCCTGAGTTTTTAAGTCTATCACCTGAAAAAAGAATAACAAAAGCTTACATATCTTATGGGATACAATTAGGAAAGTGATGAAATAAATTAATACAAAGCACTGAGAAATACCATTGCTTGGTTAACTCATTATTAAAAAAAAAATCTGAAAGTGAATTGAGTCTCAAAAATCCAAATACCAATAAAGCAAAAATATAGCACTTATCTACTACATAAAGACTAGCCCATTACATTACAACACATATAAGGCTTCCATTCTCTTCCTTCTTCTTTTTTTAAATTTTCTCCTCCATAAACTATGTTGCTACAATTAACTAGCTTACCAATCCTTGATTAGTTTCAACCAGAGCCCCAGCTCCTACTGATGCAAAATTCACCCTATAAATGTGTTAAAGATTTCAAGACATCAGTTTTTTTTTCTTTTTTAAGCGAGAGCTTGAATTGCAGCCAAAAAAAAAAGTAAGAGCTTGAATACCAATGTTACATTTTACACAACAAAAAATCCCAATTGTTCAAGTGGTAGAAGCAAACAGTTGATTCCAAAACAAAAAAGGTAACAAAATTGTAAACACAAGCGAAAAAATAACCCGAATTTTTACATTTTCAGAAAAAAGTTAACCAAGAGAGAAGTTATTGTTTCAAGGGAATCAACATGAATCACAATTTTCAAAGAGTAAAAGACCATGAACATTTTAGGAACAAAGTGACATTACCCAACATAAATTTACAACGGAAGCAGAATATTCAAAGACATCATACAATAAAGTTTAACCATTTTTCATGTGATTTATCCATTTAACTCACGTACATGGAAAATGTGGCAGTGAAAAAAAAAACTCATTGGCGTTTAAGGAAGACAACAAGAATAACTAAAAAGAAAGGGTGCTCTGAATTGAAGAAAACAGAACCAAGGAAGAGTATAATGTAGGAAAGGAAGGCATAGAGAGTTTACCAATTCATTTCCAAGCTCAATGGTAGCATCTTGATTGCTACTCTTCTTGCTAGCGATACTCCCACAGAGCACACAAATCCTCTTGAACTTTGAATGCCTTGTCTCGCGGTGAGTTTCTATTTGTTAGTTGTAAGGTAACTAGTTAGTTATATTCACTTTCACACAGTCAAACACACACACAACTTCTATAATGCTTCTCAAACAAAAGAATTCCCCTCCAAATCCCGTCCCTAACAAACAAAAACTAGTGTATGTTTGAAAGCATAAATTATAAAACAACATTGTAATCGGTGTGCAATTACAACACATATGATGTACTAGCTGAATACATGATTATTCGATGTTAGATTTGAAAATATTATGAGCAATTTTTGGGAAATTTTAGATCCTTGTGGAGAATATTTGAAAATGTTCTTTGCGTGTTCTTTCCCCAAAATGGTGTATACCCACAAAACATTTCATATATACAAAAGATGAAGGAGAAAAAAGAACGGGAAAGTGAAATAAAAATTGGAAATAATGGGAACAAAATTTTTTGCGCGATTGAATCTATCACAACATAAGGACATTAGGGTTTTGATTTTTGTTTCGTATCATTCTCCAGAACAAATCGAAAAGAAAAAAGCTCACTTGTTGGCAGATTCCCAAACTCGGAAGAATTAAATTGAAGACACTGAGAAAATTGCTTTGTTGATGCTGTAAAAAGAAACAACAATTTTCCCTAGAAAATTGAGTATTATCGTGGAAAATGGTTATGCCAAATAAGAGACCATGTGTAAAATGTTTTGACCCGCGAGCCAGCCCCATCCCAGCCCAATAAATGAAAGGGCCTTGGAGGGCTAGGGCTAAAATGGCCTTGTCACATAAATGGCTGAATTTTAATAGGGCTTTGACAGGGTTGTATGGGCTGGCCCCAGGGCTATAGCCCTAATTGATAGCTCTAATTTGTATGAATCTAGGGATAGACATATGGATCGTGCAATCTTTATGATTTTTGCTTTTAATGTTTAAATCCTTTTGAAAAACACCAAGAAATTATGATTCTCTTAAGGGTTAAAGAGTTGGAATACCAAGGGATTGAGTATAACTAAATTAAGGAATCGATTCACGATATAAAATGGCGATTAAGTAGGATTTTTAATTCAAAGCATAAATAAGAGATTAAGGAAAATTGAGTCGTTAACTACATTTTTCTTTACGGGGCGTTTGATAGAGGAGAATTTTTTTTTATTCGGGAATCATAATTTCCAGGAATATGATAGGAAAGTTATTTTTTCGAGAATGTTACCAAAAAAACTGTTTGGTATGCCAAAATATTCCCAGGAATATTAGGTTAATTTTCCTGATATTATGTTTGGTTGATTGTAAAATATTGATGAGAATGTGTATCGAATTTACAAAATTAACCTTTATGTTCATTTTGTTTATTCAGTAACATTTTTGTTTACTGTAAGCTGAAGATGGGTTCAGGTTCTTGGCAAGAACTCACTTCTAAAACGGCTGACATCCATCTCAAAAAGCATCCTCTACCGTATGCTCTCCAACTAAACCCATACACAGACGACCTTGCAAACAATATCAACACAAATTCAGGGTTTCAAACTTGAAAAACAAGAAGCAATGTTTAAGGGGACTTCAAATATCAGAGTTTTGAAAAAATTAACCAATAAGCTAAACCAAAAAAAAGGAACGAAATTAATCGCAAAAGATCAAACTGTATAGGCCTGTATCTCCCCTATCTCTTCTTTTTTCTTCTCTTTTGGGTTTTCTTTTTTTTTTTGGTTTTTCCTAAGAAAAAGGAGAAAAACAAAAAAGGAGAAGGACTAAGAACGATGGAGGAGTGCCAGATGTGTTGAGGTGGATGTGGAGGTGACCATTGAAACAGAGGTAGCGGCAATGGTGCTTAGGGATGATAGGAGGTTAAAGAAGAAGAGGCAAAAAGAAGAGAGAGAGAGAGAGGATGGGTATTTTGGTTCGAAAATATGTGAGTGATTTTCCCATTATCTGGGAATCAAAAAATACCACCTCCTTGGTGATATTTTTTGGTGGTAATATTATCTACAAAATACACATAAAAGCAAATTTTGAAAAAATTACTTTCCTAAGAAAATTTCTCAAATTAAGCTACCGAACATGGAGTTCTTAAACTCCGATCCCCACTTTCCTGAGCTTCTAAAAATAATCCATGTATCAAACAGTACCTTATTGTTCAAACCTTTGCTATTCTTGTTCTTATTTTAATTAGTATTTAATTTTTGTTCAATTTTTTATTCGAATTGTCCAACTTAAGCTAGATAATGAATTAGTGTTTGGAATCTAATTCTCGTGAAAACAATACGATATACTTGCCGAAGCAATAAGAGAAATGAAATTGGGTTAAATTCCATCAAATTTACATCAAAAAATAACATTATTTACATTTTTAACAAAAAAAATTATATAGATGAGTTGAGAAATGATACATATATTTTTTTGGTAAAATAAAAAAAAGGAGCAACATTTCGACTGTGTCACTGACCAGTTTTATTTATTTATTTCCTCAATAGTCAAGTTCGTGCGCTCTCTTCTATTGTCTTCGGAATCCAATCCACCAAATCGGCGACGACGCCTTCCGTTTTGTTGCTGCTCCGTCTGGAAATCATAGATCCGCGGCGGAACCACCGTATTCGGTAACCTTCTATTGATCTTCCGAATCTCGTTGTGGCTAAAGTGGATCGGAGATGCCGGTGGCCGCTTCCGCCATATACTTCCTGAACCTCCGCGGAGACGTTCTCATCAACCGCCTCTATCGCGACGATGTTGGGTAATCCTTTCTTCCACACCTTTTTCTGTTTCCTTCGTGTTTTCAGAGGTGAGGTTGTTCCTAGATCACTTAGGTTTTTCAAACAGGAAAACAATTGTGCGTTTTGATCATAGCTTGTATGTAGCGATATCACGATTTCCAATTTCGAACAATTGCTGCGGCTAGGGCTAGTGATATCATGGTTTCCAGTTCTTGAAGCCCTGGAGCTGATTGATTGAGCTGTTAGAAGTTCGTTTGTTTATGTAAATGTTAGTATGCAATCACTGTTGTGCCTGATGATTCATGATTTTACAGGGGAAATATGGTGGATGCTTTCCGGACGCATATTATGCAAACCAAGGAACTTGGTACCTGTCCTGTGAGGCAAATTGGTAGCTGCTCTTTCTTTTACATGAGGATTAGCAATGTCTACATTGTCATTGTCGTCAGCAACAACGCCAACGTAGCTTGCGCTTTCAAGTTTGTTGTTGAGGTAGTCAACCTCTAACCGTCAGTCACGTCTATCTCATGTTTACATGCTGCTCAAGCTCAACTATCTGGGATGAAGGCTTTGTTGGCATCGCTGCTCGTGCATGACCTTGTAGCTTATAATTCTTGCTGTTTTGATTGTTATTAAACGATTGTTTGCTGTTAACTTCTGCTCTAAGTTAACAAGGTAGGAAGAACCTCCTAAATTCTCAAAGTTAGCCCAAATTGTGATGTATTGAATATTGAGAAGAGGGCCACTATCTACAGTGAATTTAGTGGAGAAGCAATGATAAGTTCGTACAAATACCAAGGGTCATTTAGATCAATCAGGGTTTAATAGTATTTCTTTTCTTGGCTTCTCCATCTATAGAGAAAGCTTTTTTGTGCTATCAATGTCAATGCTTTTGCTTCTTGAGTCACTATATTCTGCATCTTTTAGGCAGCAGATTTGACTGACATATGTTAATTGGTTTTTCATGTATGGCCTGTGGCTTTTAACTTAGATTTCATATTTTAGCTGGTAGAACTTAGATTTCTGGAATGCTAGGTAGTACGACCTGAATTATGATAATCTGAGTGGTCTGAAGGTTCATGGTGGTTGATTGAGAATTTCTTCCCTTTAAAATTGCCATTCATCCCATGCACACTACTCTGCAATAGGGGAAAACAGTTACTCTAATATTGACATTGATTTTAAACAGTGTTTTTATTACAGCCTATCCTATCTTCACATCACAGAATGTTGCTCAACTAATTAGGAATGCTGAACACTAATTACAGGTGTTAAGGTCGAGTGATGAATAGGAATGGAATATACACACATTGATGCAGTTATCCTAGTAAAAGTCCTGATATGTGTTTCACTTATTGAATATAAATTTTGCCCAGTAAGGGGTGTTTGTGTTGCTGTAAAGTAATTTTTCATGTTTGTTGAGTTTTAGATCTTTGGAGTTATTTCAGGGTGATAATGCTGTGTGTTTAGTACGTCAGTTGACTTATTAATAAGTCTTGGAGAAGTGAACTTGTAATCAATAGTCAGTGTAGTTTAATGGCACTAAAAACCCAGTCAAATATCAATAAGAGAGTCAGTCCTGTGTGCCAATAACAATAGTAAGCAAGCCTTATCCCTCTAGATAAAGTTGGTTACATGTATCAATTGACATCATTGGACTGTATCAAAAACCAATTTTAAATGGCCTCTCTGAAAGTTTTCACTACCTGTCGTGATTTAGAAAATTCATCTTTATGGTGGTTGATACTTGTACTTCTTCTCCTTGCAGGCTGTTGCACTGTTTAAATCATATTTTGGTGGAGCTTTTGATGAGGATGCAATTCGCAATAACTTTGTACTCATTTATGAGCTTCTAGATGGTATGTAATTTGTGTGGAGAATGAACTGAATTCTTTCCATGTTCTTCTAGCTTTGATTATGTTGTCTACTGTGTGTTATTGTTGAAACTTGAAAGTCAATGCAAGGGTTTTAGTTTCCAGTAATTCAAAAACTGTTGTAAGTTATAAGAGTATATTGTAGCTAAGTTCATATATGATATATCTGCCCAAGTTTCTTTAAGTGAGGAGTTATGTATGTGAAATTTGGTACCTGTTGTATAAGGGATATGAATGAGCTTAATTGTGTATCTTAGAAATAAGAATATATTTAAATGATATTCATATCCCTGGAAATACATAATAAATTATTTGGATAACTAGTATAACCAGTCTTTTAGCTGGGAATAGTATAAAAAAGTCATATATTTATATATAGTGACAATTGACGAAATATTCAAGCAAACAAATGAAGGGATACAATGTGTTCCTTTCTCTGTTGGTGCCTTTTGACAAGCACTAACTCATTATATTGGTACCAAAAGCTTGACTAAAATGATTGTCAGGATTTTTTACTGTTTAAAATGAGTAATTGACTAGGGTTTTGCTTGTGAATTGTAATGGAAGTGGGTTTGATTGTGCTTGTGTAATGTGCAACTGTAATAATGCTCTTGCCTGATAGCTATTAGGTGTGTTTTATTATTAATCTATTGTATATTATCGAAAGGATAAACGAATATATTTGCCAAGTCAAAGTTTGTTGGCTGTTGGGTGAGGTTACATTAATGGTTTTATATATCTCAACACGCCTCCTCACACGAGATCCCACTGAGCTTGAAGGGTGGACGATGCACAGGCCCACCTACCTGTGCGAAGAAAGAAATTCCAGTAGAAAGAAAGTGGGGGGCGGTGCGAATCGAACCCGGTACTCCGAGGCTCTGATATCATATAAAGAACCAATTTAACCCAAAAGCTTAAGCTGGTGGGTGAGGGCTTTTTAATGGTTTTATATATCTCAACACGAACCCGGGACACGAAGCTCTGATACCATGTAAAGAACCAATTCAACCCAAAAGCTTAAGTTGTTGGGTGAGGCTACATTAATGGTTTTATATATCTCAACACGCCCCCTCACACGAGAGTCCACTGGGCTTGAAGGGTGGACGATGCACAGGCCCACCTATCTGTGCGGAGAAAGAAATTCCACTAGAAAGAAAGTGGGGGGCGGTGAGAATCGAACCCGGTACACCGAGGCTCTGATACCAACTTGAATATGAAATAATATGATGTGTATTAATCTGATACAAAGAGTTACAATATATAGAGACCCTAATGGACTTAAGTAAGAAGCCCAGAACTAATCCAAAAAGAATATTTACAGATAGGAAGTAATCTATTCAAATCTAATCATATCTAATCATATCTATTCTAACAGTAATCAAGATCAGATCACCGGATTATATTCTGTAATAGAGAAAAATACTTGTCATTTAAATGGGTGGATGATTATTACATTTATTTATTTATTTATTTTTTTGCAGAAATTATGGACTTTGGTTACCCACAAAATCTTTCACCAGAGATCTTGAAGCTTTATATCACCCAGGAAGGAGTGCGTTCCCCATTTTCATCCAAGGTTAGTCTGCAAATGCTATCATTGCTAGTAGTCACCATGAAGTAAGGACACAGACAGGGACCCTGATAGGAGACAACATGGAGATATTGACATGAAAAAAAAATCTTATAGAATATGGCATAGATGTTGTATGAATTTATGAAAATACCAAATATCAAATAATATTTAAGACATTTTCTCCATATGCCCATACTAAGAAATTCTATTATGTGCAAAAGAAGAATGAAATACGTAAAAATTCAAATTATACAAATCTTAAGGTCCACGAAGAATTTCATTTCAAAAACATATGAAATTTCATCCTTTTATTTAGTCCACTATATTTGTTTAAATGGTTCATCTAAAATCCTATCATTTTCCTCTTCCAAAACTTCTCTACTTCTCTCTTCACTGTCTTGATGTTAAAGTTGAAAATATGGAAATGCACCACCTCTATTTATTCTTTCAAATACAAACAGGGCATTGGCTCAGACTTAATTGCCATCTCTAGGTTAGGTTGATGAAATAATCAACCTTTGATTGGAGATTTGCAAGATCATGGATCTCAAGGTTGATCTAGTCTGTGCTGGTTTTTGGACCATACTGTCTCTGACATCTGTCACCATAAGAGGAACATTTCTGTTCTGTTACATCACATTTATGCTAGATGCATGTTGCACAAGTAGACATTGTTGTGAACTTTTGAGTATTTTGTAATTGATTCATATTTGTAAGGAATAAACAAGCTTTATTGTTTGCACTAGCAGCCGACCTTTTTGTTTCCTTATTCTTATCCATGAGGCATGAGTTATGCCTATGGTCAGGACCGTCAGGTTTTCTATATTACTTAATTCATTGATGCCATATTCCTGAACCACTTTCCCTACACCTCTTCTCAACATCAAGTTGCGAATTCAGTGCTGATAATAAGAAAAAAGAAAGAAAGAATGCTGACATAAACTTTTAACTTCTGTCTGAAAAGCTGATATACAAGTTTTATAATTGTTGTGTGTGTTGTGCGTGTCTATCTATCTATCCCATATGTCTGTCTATCTGTATATTTTTATATTTAACTTTTGCATGTCTTAATATGTTTACTCTGTTATGTTGAGTATTCCGTTAAATCCTTTCATTATATTCTGTGTGCATTGAATAAAGGCCACAGATAGACCTGTTCCAAATGCGACCTTACAAGTTACTGGTGCTGTTGGTTGGCGGAGAGAAGGCCTTGTCTACAAAAAGAATGAGGTCAGTTTTATGCTGTGCCATATCTAGTCCTTACAAATTATGATTATTGCCACACAGCTCATACTGTTATAACATTGAACCGTTACAGGTCTTCCTGGATATTGTAGAAAGCGTAAATCTTCTTATGTCTTCAAAAGGTGGGTTGTGGATTTAATTTGTCTTCGTGTTGATATTTGCTAGATTGCCTGGTAATTAGTTTGTGAATTTAGGTAGTGTTCTGCGCTGTGATGTCACCGGAAAGATCCTTATGAAGTGCTTTCTTTCTGGAATGCCTGATTTAAAGTTGGGTTTGAATGACAAGATTGGTCTTGAGAAAGAATCACAACTTAAATCCCGTCCTACGAAGAGGTAGCTTTCAGTTGCACTTATTTTCTCCCCCCTTTGGCCCTCCAATGATTTCTTTTACCCCCTTAGATATTGTCATTTTAAAGTTGTGTCTATATGTTCTCTTGTTATGTTAGCATTGAAAATGATTTGGTTTAAATGATGTTGTTTTGCTTTCCTTTTTCCATTTTAGTCCCTTCCTTATGCTGTGTGTGAAGTGTATTTATCCTCCTGTTTTGTTTTCTTTTCCTAATATAATCATATCTTTTTCTCTTATCAACAAAATATTTTTTGCAGTGGTAAAACTATCGAGCTTGATGACGTCACTTTCCATCAATGTGTAAATTTGACAAGGTTCAACTCAGAGAAGACTGTTAGTTTCGTACCACCTGACGGTGAATTTGAGCTAATGAAGTAAGTTTTTGTCTTTTAGTCCAATCTCTTGCTATCTTATTTCAGAAATCTACAGAAAATATGCTCCTTAATGCTTTGGTGGGTGGGGGTGGATGTTCAATTGTTTTTAATTCCCTCTCTGTCCTTTGAACTCATCTTGATTAACTATTACTTGGTATTACAAAATAACTAGCTATAAATGATTGGGTGAACTCACAATGGTGCTTGAATTGCCATTGGTTCTTGTGTCTAATATCTTCTAACATAATTGTACCTGGGTAGGTATCGTATCACTGAGGGAGTTAATCTTCCCTTCAAAGTATTGCCAACCATCAAGGAACTTGGTCGATCACGGATGGAAGTGAACGTGAAGGTTTGAATTTTTCCATGTTGGATATCCATTCTTTTGAGGATCTTTCATCCTCCACTTGTTTTTTATTTATATTATTTATTAAGATAACATATTTTTCAGGTAAAGAGTGTTTTTGGTGCTAAAATGTTCGCTCTTGGGGTTGTAGTCAAAATTCCTGTGCCAAAACAAACAGCAAAAACTAGTTTCACAGTTACATCGGGCCGAGCGAAATACAATGCATCAATTGATAGTTTGGTTTGGAAGTAAGTCTCTCACTTTATTGTGTTTATTATATAAACTGTGGTATTTTACTTTGTTATTCTTATTTAAAAAATTCCAATTATTTTGAATGTTGTTGGGGATATCATTGAACATGTTTTGTTTTAGGCTAAGATCCTTAGTGCGTGCGTGTAGGGAAGGGATTCAATTACTGGATGAATAAGTCTTTAGACCTGCACTCAATCTCTTGCCATTAATTCCATTTTCATCCTCCAGATCAAATCAAATCGTTCTATTAATGGTTTCCAACAACACCAATGGAACCCCTTGTTCTCGAATAACCACCAACCCTCTGCATTTGCAACCTCTTCTTCTCTATCACCAAATCATTCTATTAATAAAGAGAGAATATTACATTATATGAAAAAGAAATTAATGGTAAGAGATTGGGTGTAAGTCTAAAGACTTACTCAAGTAAGTTGATTCCCTCCATACACATATGAATCAGTTGTTACCCCTCTTCCCTATTTCCTTTAGTACTCTAGTGTTTAGTAGTTTTCAATATACTACGCCAGCCATTCAAATATCATTATCTATGGCTTTTCTTGATTTCTAGGATTAAAAAATTCCCGGGGCAAACTGAGTCAACCTTGAGCGCAGAAGTTGAACTTATTTCCACGATAACAGAAAAGAAATCTTGGACTAGACCACCAATTCAGATGGAGTTTCAGGTTTGTTATTGGTTACTTTACTAATTTCATGAAAATAGAGTTCTTTATTGCCCTAAAGTATTCTTTCTGGTATCATACAATTTCTCACTTCCGGTGTTTTATGTTATTGTTAGTGCTAAATCCATACGTAGTCTGACGTTTGAAGCTCTAAAATTGCAGCTCATTTGTAATCATTATTATTATTTTAGATAGAAACAGCTTACTTGTAGTTATTGTCACTTGTAATTATTATTATTATTACTTTTGGTCTGAACAGAGGCCCATTGAACTTGGTGTCAATCATCAGTGGTTGTTTTACTAAAATTTTAGTTTTACATGTTGGTTTTAAAATTAAATTTTGGAACTCATTCATCTCTTGTTTTTGGTCATCTTTACTATATATTTTGAAAGCTGTTACATGGGAATTACTTGTTCTGAGTTAGTTGAAGGCAAAGGTTTGTTTTTGATTCATAAAAATTAAGTGTTGTTCAGGTGTGTTTACTTGAACAGATTATGCGGTTGTGTTTGAGCTTCTATGGGTGTAAATTTGATGATGTTTGAAGGTGACTCCTCTTTTGTATGTGCATAGGGGAATTGAATATTCAATAGTGGGAGGTGATTATTTTGTGAGAAAGGTGAAATATTTTGTGATAGAGACGTATTGTTCTCTAGTGGAGAGTGGAGAATGGGCTGCATGGAGGCCCAATACTCCAGCACAGAACAAGTGTGTTTTTGCCTGGCAATTAGACATTTTATTAGCATCTTGGTCCCTTCTTCAGATATTTGCTCAACTGCGCTGAATTAAGAGCAGATGATCAATTGGTCATTTTTATTTTATTTTTTATTTTATTTTTTTTAACTTTCTTTTTCCTTTGGGCTAAGCTTGGTGGGATTTATTGGCCCTCTGCTGTGGGAAAAACTTATGAAGTAATTTATCATCTTCACTTGTGGAGCTGTCTCTCCAAACTTTTACTTACACGTAATTGTTCTATATTTGTTGATGCAGGTTCCCATGTTCACAGCATCTGGTTTACGTGTCCGTTTTCTCAAGGTATCCATCCCGGCCTACTGAACCCTTTTTTAATACATTTCCTCATAACTTGGTGGTTCTATCTTATTTACTTACTCTCTGCAGGTGTGGGAGAAGAGTGGGTACAATACCGTCGAGTGGGTTCGTTATATTACAAAAGCAGGATCATACGAGATTAGGTGCTAGACACATCGGGTTTGCTGGATTGAGATTGAAGAAAATCCCAAATAATTAAAGTTGCAGTTGAAGATTTGCATAGGAGTTTCTTATTCATAAAACGAAAGGTTTAAGTGTTACTCATCGGATAGTGTGCTGTCAATATGATTCTTTGCATGAAAAATCAGTTTAATATTTTTGTTGCGAAGGCCAGCTTGTTATCGGAACCTTAAATTGATTATCTTTCTCTTGTACACTTTGTGTTTTGTTCTGATCTTTTCTTATACATAATTTGTTGTAATGATAATGTTTATTGCGTGCTGATTCATTGAATTACTTCATGTTGGTGTTGAATTTATGATTTTGCGCGCCTACTGATGTAAGTAGGCTGAAATGTCATGCATGCTGATGCTAACGGTTCCTTTGTTCAGGTGGAATCGCAATTCTCATAAAAATACGAAAACGGGGTTACAGTTTAGCATGACAATAACTTGATTCTTACTGAAGAAGCGAAGAAAAAAAGAGAGAAGAAAATTAGGACAATCTGTGTTCTCCTTATATTTATTAGTTCCATAACAAGTGTTTTAGGGGTGCATAAACCCTAAACCTAAAAGAAAAAGTTAATAGGAGTACCATTTGGGGGATAAACAGTTAGAAATTTGTTAGTTGTTAGTGTTATTATAAATGTTTAAAATTTTATCAAATGTAATTCACAAAGAATTGATGTATCATAACCAGGGGTGTGAATAGGTTAGGTTAGATTTTGGCTTAAATATGTCAGATCAGTGTAAAAAACCTTAGGTCTGGGGCTTGTCCTGTTAGCTTTGTAGATTCAAATTACAAGTTTGACTTATATTAAAAAATAAAAGTATTGACCTAGGTCTGTTAGCCTGTTTAAGCCTATTAAACATTCTATAATTAAAATAAGGCTACTTTATTATTAAAAAATATTAAAATAATTTTATTTATTATATTTAAAATTAATAATATGATATAGGATGATCTGTAGATTTATGGGCTCGATATGTACAAAAAAGCCTATGGCCTGCTTTCTAAATGGATTTTTTAAAAGTCTAAGCATGCTTTATTTGATTATTTGTAATAGGGTAAGCGTGACTTAATATAGGTCAGGTTGTAAATTCCTATAAGTCGGCCTAGCTTATTTATACCTTTAATCACAACTTATCAGTCAATACCTTTTGGAAAAATAATGATCCTAGAAGAAACCCCAAGTTTATATTTTAAATTTAAAATTATTGTAATTTCAAAATATTTGCAACATTTTAACTTTTTTTTTTATGATAAATTTGGTTAATGTTCTTATAATTTCATTTTGAAATAAAATTAGCTTTCTTCCAAATCATCGTAAAATGGCATATACCCGGTCAATGATGCACCATGATAAGCTCCAAATTGTCTTTACGTCCGTTTTCACCTTATTAATGTGAATTTGTTTAAAAAACACTCAAATTTTCTTTTCCTCTACCATTGAACTTTTTCTATGTATTTTTGTAGGTTTAATTTTTTTGGTAAGTTTTAAGTTTAATTTTAATACTCTATTAATATAATTATAATATCATCCAACCCAATTTTATATTAATATCTTATTTAATTAATTTGATTATGCTAATTTTCTTTTCCTCTATCATCAAATTGATTGGATGATTCGGTAACAGATCAATAACTATAAAAGATTTTTATCCGCTGCGATTAAAATTAAATTGATTTTTCTTTTATTTTATTTATTTTCTGTTTGAAAAGCACAATGAAAACAAAAATAAATATAAATAGATTAAAGGAGGGTGAGATGCAGTGAAGTGTTGTTCCGGTGGAGTATAAAGCCGAAGCTGTGTGGTCTGAAATTGAACAGTCTTCGATACTCTAACCACTGGTATTCACCTCCTCCTTCTTCTGCTGCGGCGTCGTTTAACTTTTCTCTATCACTGTGATTGGGATTTGTTATGAGGTTTTTGAGAAGGATAGCTGGGTTCCTAGGGTTTGCGAAGGACGATCACGACCTCCGCCAAGAACCCGATGGCCAACCTGAACCTGCTACGATGCCGTCGCGCGTGAGAGACACCGACCTTCCTCGGAAAGCCAAAGTGTTCGGCGTCGATCGCGCTCCCATCCTCGCCCCTTCTACCTCCGGCGACGGTGGTGTTCAGGTCCCTTTCATTTCTCAATTTCCTTTCCAGTTCTCGTCGCAGTTCAATCCAATTGATCTAAGCCAAATGTTTTTAGACTTATAACATATTTTGCAATGTTGATGGACAATTTATAATTATCTCAACTAAGTTAAGGAAAGTTGCACTGTTAGATCAATTTTTCCCCTTGTTAATTCTTCATTTACTGCTAGCAATTGATTAATATAAATAATATTTATTTCCCTTCATCAGGGTCTGAGGTGGTATGCAAAGCGTCTTAAGATAGATGAAGATGGAGATGTAGCGGATGAGTTCCTTGATGAGGTTTCTGCACAGACTTCGGCACTAACAGTAGATCATAAGAAAACGGTTGCAACCTTTAAACTCAAGTATGCTACTATTCCTGCCAAAGTGATGACACAGGTCCTATCAGATGGTAAGCTTCAGCAGTGTGTGGAACACCAAGGAAGGTTACAGTGGGTATAAAAATCTTATTAGAAAATGACAATGGCTATTGATTCTTTGGATTCTGTGTGTTTAGTTATTACGGATATGGTGGGGATCTGCTTATGTTTTAAACGTGGTTTACATGATGGTTCCTTTTAGCTTTTAAGGTATGACTGGGAATTGCTGCGTTTGGTGAAAGCATGTGGAAGTCAGAATGTACACCCTTGAAAATGAGTTGCCACATCTCATATTTGAGGTATATATTCAAAGACTGTGTCAAGTATTTAAGTCTAGTGGTCTTGTACTCTTGTATTAGGGAACTGTGATTGCATTATGTAGAAGGATAGATGTGCAGAAAGAGTAGAAATTTGGTGGCAATCTGTCAAATAGATTATGTGGGGACATTTATTAGTTGACGCTTTTGAAGCATTTTGTGGTTTCCTGTAAGTATTGAAATGTTGTGCAACCCGTGATTTTGCTAATTGTGATTATCTGTTCTTTGCTCTTCCTTTCTTCTAGCTACTTCTTTGTGATGCTTATGTTTATAGAATATGTAGTCAAATTTAAGATATAGAGAAATGGACCATCAATGATGATGGCTCATGTACCATACCATCTGGAAGTTGAAAGATTATTATCAGGAGAGAAACATTCACTGAAGTCAAAAGATGCAAGCCATCCTCAAATACATTGAAGGATTCAGATTAAAAGCAGATCCCTCTTATTAAATGTCTGAAACAGAAAACTCCAACTACACGACGAGAGAAAGAAAGAAAGCAAGAAAGAAAGAAAGAAGAAGCTACAGTTAAACACAGATCTATATATGCGTGTTCCTAGGAGGGTTTCCTCCTAGTGGATAAGTTGGATGGGTGGCTCCTGGCTTGGGAACTGTCCCAAGTGGCTGGTGCCCTTGGTACTGATGAGCTCCATCTAGGTGAGGCTCGTGGTCGTGGAGGCCATAGTTATGTGATTGATTGGTGCTTAACTTCTCTGCTGCATGCCTGGCTTTAGCTTCATGCAGCTCCATCTTTGCTTTAGCTTCCTTAGCCTTTGCACGCTCCTCGGCTATTACTTTCTCTTCCTTTGTTCTTGCCGTTGCTTTCTCTGCCTGCAGTATTCAACCCAGTAAGATCATTTATCACAGACTTAACAATCAGCGTTTGCTCGTAGCTTTTATATAGCCATACATATAAATAGTATATTAACTTTGAAAAACTTTGCACCTAGTTACCGGGCCAAGACGAAGCTTTACTTCAACCTTGTGGTCGAAAAAAAAAAAAAAACTTTTTTTTCCCCATACGTTCGAAGATAAAATGATTTTAGCTTTATTGAACACCTTTATGCCACAAACAAAAAATCATTTGAGAGACTCAACATCATGGAACAAACTATATTAATAGACATGGAAAAGCTCAAAAGCGGACCTTCTCGTCTATTTTGGCTTTATAGATGTCGACTTGCTCCTTGGCAGCACTGGCCACGTTTTTCAGTTTCTCCTTTGAAGATTGCATCGTGTCTTTTCTTTTTTCAATCAATGAGTTCAAGTGTTCAACCGTTTGAACCCTGTGTTCGATATGAGGGACAATTTATATGCAGATCCTGATACAGGAAGATCAGAGCCAAACCAAGCCTAGATAAAACCCAAAAGGCTTCGGAGCACGGCACGTTAGGCATCGAAACACTTGTTTAACATGCAGGGCTTTTGCCGTCAACTGGCTTCCACGTTCATAAAAAATTAGAACATACATGATTATGAACTTATCTGTTACCTCCTAGCACTTATGACAAAAAATATATAATATGAATATGGGTTTAATTTTCTGCTTGTTACAGAATAATTTGTGTCACTCTTAAAAAAAAATAGTGGATTTCACAAAAAAAAATGCAATAGAGTTATACTTAAAAAAAAGTTATCTATGTACTTTAGAAATTACATTATGTCATGTGACAGATAAAACTTGTGCAGTAAGTATAAAAATGTTTTTTCCTATCAATATAAGGAAATATTGTATGTCAGACACAAAGTTATATCATTTTTAATGAAACTACGTCGTTTTAGTGTGTTTTAACATTCTCTCTCCTCTATTTTCTTTTTATTTCTAATTTTATAAATTAGAAAAAATGACAAAACACACCAAAACGACTTAATTTCATTAAAAATGACACAAAATTATGTCATTTAAAATGACAAATACTAAACCCTAAACCCTCAATATATATAACTAAACCATCATTGGTCTAGGGCCTAACATAAGTAATTTGTTTATTTTTCTGAAAAAAATACATGTTAAAAAACTTGTAAACCAGACGAGTTTTAATCACCGTACACGTGTTGAACATTAGTTGGAATAGAATCTAACGGTTCCTGCAGAGCGCGCGTGTGGTTCCTTAACTCGTTCTTGTTATCCCGTGGCTCTCTCTGTGTGTGTGTGTGAGCACTTGAAGAAGAAGAACATGGCACTTCCCCTACTCCGAATTCCAGGTACTTGCTGCATTCCATTTACGAAGCAGCAATGTTTCCCTTCCAAAAACCGCCGGAAGACGACGACGACGACGGCGGCGGAGCTCCGAACGCCGGTGGGACTGACCGGTGGAACCGCCTACCAGTCTTCATGTGTTGATGTTCCAACCCATAAGGTCACAGTCCACGACAGACAACGAGGAACCGTTCACGAGTTCCTCGTACCTGAGGTATGATCCCAACCCATGATTGCCATCCATATGATAAGCTTGTTCTGTTCCCTACCTTGTTGCAACTGCATGCTATCAACTTTAACTTTTCCTCCTTTATCTTTCTTATTCTCGTTTCTTCATTTTGTTGACTATTGATATTTTTTTTATGTGATTCCAAAGGAAAAGAAATTCATGGTCCTTTTCTCAAATAAATAAATAAATAAAAATTGAAAATTTATATGTGAATGTGACTACTATTTATAAAATGCAGGACCAATATATATTACATACTGCTGAGTCCCAGAACATTGCCCTTCCATTCGCCTGCAGGCATGGTACTTACTGTTATCCTATTTGTTAATAACGATCTGTTATTTTGTCACAGAAGTAAATTCACATACATGCACACATACATTCATGAAACTAGATTTACTCTATTATCTTGTTTTGTTGCTGCTTGCCTGCACCTGCATTAGTTTCCTAGCAGAGGCCCTCAATTTCTCAAGTCATCTGTGTGTTAAGGTTTCGCCATTTATCTATTAGAGTGAATTGGGATTGTGGATCATTAGATTTGATGGGGTTCAATTTTCATTGGTTCCATTTAGATGTTCCAAGATCTCTAAACATATGTTATCCTTTATTAGGCTTTTTGAAGTCTTTATAAGAATTTTATGAACCTATCATATTTGTTTTTTGCATCTGTATTATTAGTAATGGCCTTTGTTGAAGATAGATTCCATTTTTTTCCAAATGTATTCTTAAAATACAGATAAAAATGTGATTACTTTAAAGCGGTGTAATTTTTTTTACCCTTCTATTGGGAACAAAGGCAAAATGGTAACTGTTCACTGTACTAAAGTTTACCTTTGTTGATCATGCAATGCATTTTTTGTACTTGTTCTCCCTGCTCCTTCTATTGCCATCCAGATTGAAATTTGTTGGGTCTGCGGGGCTATTGTTAACTTCCTGATACTGTTTGCTACTTTGAAACCTTTTATGGCAGGTTGTTGTACTAGCTGTGCTGTGCGTATAAAGAATGGACAGATTAGACAGCCAGAGGCTCTTGGGATATCTGCTGAGTTGAAAGAGAAGGCACGAATAACTATCTTTATTCTATGTCTATGAATTATTATTTTTTAATTCCATACTAAAATTGGTAATTTTGACTTGTTAAGTACCAATGCATGATTTTCTTATGGAATACTTCATACTTTAATGCTTTACATGAATCATACTTTAATGATGCCAAACAAAGAGAATCAGATTTTTTTTATTTTTTATTTTTTCACATTTTTATTCCAAGATTCAAGAGTAAAAGAAGATATTGAGCATGATAAAGCAATTTGATTTACAATTTACTGGAGTAGAGTAGAGGCAGAAGAATGGTGGTTGTGGTGATATAGAACTATATACTTCATTCAAGTTTTGACATGCTATCACCAAACACGTTAGTATGATGTCTAACCTGTCTATAATTTTAACTTATTCTTTTGGCCAATAAAAGGACATTGAGAGTCTTGTCTTTCTGTCATGGTGCCGATGCACTGAACTTGTACTTAATCTTTTCCTTGAATCATTGTCATAACTTGTAATTATAATTCAAAGCCAAAAATAAAAATCACTTTGAAAAACTATACTTATACAAGGCATTCAATTAATGGGATGCTGTTTCCTACACATTATTCCAGACAAAATGCTTGCATTCTGTTGTTTATCCTTTTCTAATGTTACCTTGCACTAAATTTTTTCGAAAAGCCAAAAAATATAGGATGAATTTTTTTGGTTTATTCCAGTAATAGAAAGAAAAAGAGAATTTATAAGGGTTTAAATTAGAAGTGTAACTACTTTACTCTTCTTTCTAGTATATTTCTGTTGTGATTGTTTGTATAGTTCACATTTGGTTTTCTGGTTCAGTGTTTCTATTCATGGGCCCTTTTACAAATGAATAAATAGATTAGATATCGTAATGGGCCAATGACACAATATTTATTAGAATAATGGGGACTACAAGGATCAAACTTTGAACCTTTTGGTCACAAAAGCTCTGATACCATGTTAACGCATTTACTACATCAAACATATCGTAATGGAGCTTAGTCACAGAATCACCATGCTCAAGCTCCTCAACAAATTCATAAGCAATATAAGTCTTTGGCCCCATGTCAGGCATTAGACAACCATCGGGCAACTTCATGGCAAGGTTAAGAGCACCTCTGGTGGGGTCCCTATATACCTTATAGGGCAAGGAAGATATGAACTTGAACAGTGACGAGGTATACGTTCTTAAAATAAATTAGGAGGCCAATCTTTAATTTCAATATCTGAGGCCAATTAAGCCAATCCTTACGACCATTTGTATACCCAGAAAAGAATTGATGGATATTAATCTTCCCCTCACACAAATCTAAGCAATCAATTGCCTTTACATCCAAATATTAATTCTACTTGGTATTAGTTCTGTCAAGGAATGAACACCCCATGACAAGTGGTTCCCAGCTTGAACCAGATTGCTAACAATAGGCTCCCTTTTGTACCAATGCCATTGAAAATGCCTTAAATCCTCAAGCTGTGGATCTACTGCCCTAGGACAATATAAATAGTTGTCAATGGAATCTTCATGAGAAGCTTCCTTCCTCATATTGATATTATTACCTCAAATCAAACATTGGTGTTTCTACCAAGCTTAAAACTTGAGGGGGTTGAGCTCCCTAAGTATTTGTTGAAAGGACTTCTTCCATATTTAAGACAGTTGGATGAAGAACTAATGATTCAGAAGGAGATTGAAATTAAGAGATAGGTGACATATGCAAAACATCAATATTTGATTACCACATAAGTTGTACAAAATGATCTTTTGATCTTTGTCTCATCTGTTGCTGTGAGCTTTGTAGTGGGCAGCTTCTAAGTGGTGCAGTTCCAATTGAGTTGGAGTTTTTCCTTTGAGGTCGTCGTTATTTGCATGCCCAAATAGAAAATAAAAAGGTAGAAGAAAATGCATTACATGTTGATGCTAATAGTGAGATTCGTAAATGGTCAAGGTCGATGGTAGCATTCCTTATGCAAAAGTTAATGATGGCATGTGACCATTGTTTTCTTGAACTGAGAAACATATTTTCTCCAAATTCTATCTGAGAGTTAGTATGTAAAGCAGACGAACTGACAAAAACATATAAGCTTCAAGATGCAATTGAGACTCTTGATATCTGGTGTTCATGTTTGAAGCTTACATGCTTTTGCCAGTTCTTCTGCATTACATACTAACTCTCAAATAGAATTTGGAGGAAATATGTGTCTCAGTTCAAGAAAACTATGGTCGTATGCATCGTTGACTTTTGGATAAGGAACTGCTACCATCACTTTCCGCATGCCACCCAGACCTTGACCATTCACGAGTCTCATGCTTAACATCAACATGTAATGCACTTTCCTCAACCTTTTTGTTTTCTTCTTCGGCATGCGAATAATGACGACCTTGGAAGACAAACTCCAACTCAATTGGATCCATACCACCTAAAAGCTGCCCACTACGAAGCTCACGACAACAAATGAGACAACAATCAAAAGAGAATTTTGTACAACTTCTATAGTAATCAAATATTGATGTTTTGCCGTTGTCACTTGTCTCTTGAGCTTCTATCTCCTTCTCAATCATTTATTCTTTATCCAACTGTCTTAAATATGGAAGAAGTCCTTTCAACAAATAATTGGGGAGCTATACCCACCTCATCTTTATTGATTTCCACATCTTTCTTCATTTCTTTAATAAGGTCACCAGATCGCAAGCATGCTTTGCAATTATAATTACCACGACACATAGGACATGAGTAAGCTATATCATACTCTTTCTATTGAGGATACCAACTATTTAAACAGGGTATGCAATATATTTTCCTCTTACAACTTTTGCACTGCACAACCCTGCCTTTATCATTTTTCTAATATTGATCGAACATTAAGGACTCCTCTTCAATCCATTTTGCATTTTTCTTGTTGACTTTTGGCTTTTTTTGTTGTTTGTCTTTACGGTCCCTGAAAGTATATTGTTTCTGAATGCGGCTTCCTAAAGAATATATAGATATTCTAGATTCACTGTAATCCCCCCAAAACTTCATTTACTGCCTCTGCTTCCTTACGCCTTCAACCCCTCTTATTTCCATTGACCAATTTTTTACAACTAGATTAATCTTTCTTGACAATCTTTATTTTTCTACCGCGTCTTTGCTTGCAAGTTGTACATTACACACACTCACCTACCTGTGCTGAGAAATTTCACAATATTTATTAGAAGAATGAGAGTGACAACCACTTGATCATAGAGGCTTTGATGCCATATCATGCAACCAACTCTCCCAAAAATTTAAGCTGTTAGGTGAAGGCAAATGAATAATTTTAATTTATATTATATTTCTAACATCAAGTTCATGGTTAGTTTGATGCTATTTGCTATAATCATTCTTGCTAGAAATGTAATATAAAACCATTCATGTGTCTTCAACAAACAACTTAAGTTCTTGGGATCGTTGATTCATGACATGATATCAGAGCTTCTATGATCAAGTGGTCTAGAGTTTTGGGCTCTTGCTCCCGGAGATAGGTTATAAATGTAATATAAAACTATTCATGTGTCTTGACCAAAGAACTTAAGTTTTGGGGATATTTGGTTCATGATAATTCCTTTTCCACTAATAGCAGTGAATAACTGTGGGGAAAATGTTCATTTGTCCAATATGAAATTAGAGTTTATGATCATAACATACAGTACATGTATAATGATGATTATTATTGTAAAGAACCAATTCAACCCAAAAGCTTAAGCTGATAGGTGAGGCTACATTAATGGTTTTATATATCTCAACACGCCCCCTCACACGAGAGTCCACTGGGCTTGAAGGGTGGACAATGCACAAACCCACCTACCTATGCTAAGAAATTCCACAAGAGAAAGTGGAGGGCGGTGATCGAACCCGGGATACGAGGTTCTGATACCATATAAAGAACCAATTCAACCCAAAAGCTTAAGCTGATGGGTGAGGCTACATTAATGGTTTTATATATCTCAACAATTATAATAACAATAGTTATTATTATTATTATTGCAAATTCCACTTCTTTTATTGCTGTGCTGTTCAAGTGTGATTTTTTGTTTCAATTCAGGGTTATGCACTTCTTTGTGTGGGCTTCCCTTCCTCTGACGTTGAGGTAGAAACTCAAGATGAAGATGAGGTAATGAGTTAGACTACAATCATGACTTGCACTTTATGATAACTGCCTGAATAGAGGCCAAATAGGATCAACTTTAGGAGATATCTTTTATTTTAATCTTGTTAGAATATGTACAAAATATCTCAGAATATCTCAATTGTATCTTTCTTGCAAAGATGCATCTTCAGCATCCCTGAATTGTTTGTCCAACTGTTTTATGAAGTCGACTTTATATTTTTTGTTATTTTCTTTTTGAAATTTTCTTTTGTAATAAGCTTATAGCTTAGCAAGCTTCAACTCAAATGAGTGTTAGAATATCTACATATCTTAATTGTATCTTTAGAATATCTTAAATGAGCTTTAGAATATATTTGGAAATCAATTGGTCATCAAACTGAGAAGCAATTTCAGGAGTTATTTCCCTTTTTTTTTATTTCCTTATTTATTTAGTGTTGGTAGTCTTATTGTATTTGTAGGTGCGGGCTATGTACTTACTAGTACTTAACATAATTATTAGTATAAACATGGCCTTTGGAGTATAATTTTGTATGACGTCATTATAACACCATCAATCTAATATCCTATTGCTTAGTGTTTCTATTCCTTCGTTTTTTTTTTTTTTTTGCTTCTCATTCTCTATCTTTTAATCTGTGAACTTTGCTGCTCTTATAAAGTGCTTTTGAGTCTAAATCAAATTGTCATCATTTTTGTTATTATCATTCGTTACTGAATTTTGGTTACGAATGTAATAAATCCTTGGTGCATACAGGTATATTGGCTTCAATTTGGACGTTATTTTGCCCGAGGACCAGTGGTGGGTTCTACTGTCTCTAACTCTTTTCTTTTTTTAACGAGGTAGCTTTTTTTTCTTTGGTTATGTGACTTTTAACACGAAAATTGTTAACAGGAGAGAGATGACTATGCCTTGGAGTTGGCAATGGGTGACGAGTAAGCAATGTAGAAAATTTGATACTCAGTAGAGCAAACAATGCCAATTTTGTGTTTACCCTTCTTTTACATTTCTTTACTGTGTCGTGTTTATTTTTTACCCTATATATACTATACTATGTGCAAATTCCAAGTAAAGCCCCATGCTATATATGCCCCCAAAACTATACTTATAGAATTAAAGATGTAGGTAATTTTCTTGCCTATATTAAATCGAGTCGAGTTCAAAATGACTCAATCTGGCAGTGAGCTCAAAAAAAATAAAAATAAAAATAAAATTGAAAAATGGAAAAAAAAATAAAAATGCCTTGTGCCGCCTTCCCCGCTGTAGATCCTAATGTACTTATTGTTCTCTCGTTTATTCGTAACAATTTTTTTTTTAATCAAAGCTTTCGTATCAAATAACATTGCTGGGAAATACAAAAGCAAAAAATAACATTTTTTTTAGGATATGGGAACTACATGAGAAATGGGATTGAATATGCCAATTAGAACTATGTTTTTATTTCTTAATGTAGTTTTGCGATTTCGAATACAGATAGAAACATGGGATATGTTATTCTATTTATCTTTTTTTTTTTTTCTGCTTACTTTTGCTTACCATTTTAAAATACCGTTAGATTAGAATCTTAACAAATCTTTATCTTTCTCTCTCCTCTTACGATTCTAATTTAACGGTATTTTAGAGTGGTAGACAAAGGTAGGCGGAAAAAATAATAGGTAGAATAACCTATCCCTATAAACATTATTAAACTATTCAATTGGGCTCCATGATGTAAATATGTAGTGTGGTCATGGACCAGCTGAAGAAGAAAACAACTGCCCTGTTTGCATAAAATAGGTAAGATAATGCAGCATCAAGAGATAACATGTAACTTGGTTTTGTCATTTTGGAATAGAGATGAATACATGGATAAAGAAGTTTCGAATGACAATCTTTTCTTTGATTCAGTTGGGCTCCATGATAGAAATATCAAATATTTGCTTTGGTCCAGCTTAAGAAGCAAACAATTGCCCTAGTTGCATAATGTTTATGAGATAATGCAGGATCAAGAGAATATACCATTGTGGCCCAGTGCTTGATTAATACAGAATCACTCGGGAACAAGATGGTGAAATGTAAAGTAGTAGACTCCTCGGTCCCACAAGTCTTGTATGTGAAGGGGTTTTCATGCATGAGAAGTTGACAGATTGGTAACTAAGTGAATTAGGTAAAGGAAGTGATTTATTTAATTTTATTTATTTGTTACTCAACAAGTTGGTATTGGTGAAGCAATTTTATGAAGAAGCTAATCTTAATAATCAAGATTGGAGGCGTTTTAGTCCAGTGTGATATTGGTTGTTTGCTAGCAATTTGGTAATTGTGGATTCCGCCAAGGCTCAGACTTATTTTATTAGTAATGTTTGCACATGAACTGTTAGTTAGATGAGATAGCCATATATGTCTCCCCAAGGGGTGTAGTAATCACTATAGGGGTTCCCTTGACAATAATGGTATAGACCAAGGCTATGTAGGGTAGTCCTAGGTGCAATGAACAACAATGAGGGTGGTGTTAAATGCCTACAATAGCTTTTCAAGTTGGCAAAGTAACAGCCCATGAAAGTAATGTTATTGTGTGTGCATGGTGATGAAGGAGGGGATATTTATAGTTAGAGTCGGTTCCATCCAAGTGGGGGAGTGAGCAAAGTCAAATATTATGGGGGAAGAGCCATAGTAGCCTGCCTTGGTTGGACATGACGTTTTGATGCCGTTGTCAGCACTGCAGCGACTGTTGTGCAGAGGAAGTCATAAAAAGGGGGACATTTTGGAGTCTATGCAGAGAAAGGGGAGGGAAGGATATCTCAAGTAAGACATTTTGATATCTGACGTTGGAAAGTCTACAAAAGAGGGTGTTGGAATGTTAGCACCGATGCTACTAGGTTGGTGCAACACATGTAGTATGAGCCCTCTGGTATTGGGTCGGTCATATTAGGCCAGTCAATTGGACTGGCCAGAACATCACATAACTTGAATTCACGTAATTTATATAGGAGAATACGCACCGTTGATATCGATGAATAAAATAGGAAGAGAAAGAGAAACTTCACCGTATAAATAACATTTTCTTTGCAAAATGCTTCAGTCCACAGTGACAGAGACAAGCAATCTCTAATATCTAATTCAGTGCATAATGCCTTACTGCAAGCTGCCATAGCCATTTATCATGATATTATTGCTTGCTTTTATTCCATTAGTGGCAAGTTACGGAAAGGAAAGAATTCAAGGGACAGAAACAGCCAAATATCTTTGACTGGAAATGATCGTCACCTCGTTCTCACGAAGGAGTAATTTGCAATTGAACGTGACATTTAGAAAATGATTGAACCGAAATATTCTCTGTAGTGCTAATAATCGTATGACTGACATAAACAAGGCTGTTGGAACATGGGGCAACATCACAGGGTCAGGATTGGAAATGTAAGAGGAGATGTCCAGATCATTCATTCACTATGATTGAACTTTGTTACCTCCTAGTGCTTCAAGTGGAAGACAGAAGTAGGGGTTGAAAAGGACATTAATTGTGTTAAACCACCAAAAAGGTTGCTCATGTTGTGTGATTCAGAAAAGATGTTGCTGTTGCCGCAGTGAGCCCGTTTGTTTGGGCTTTAAAAAAAAGTAATCTTTATCTTTCTTTTCTTTTTTTATTTATTTTAAAAGTGTTTTTTATAAAGGAAAAATTTCAAAAATTCCCAATAACTTTCTTTATAATCATTTATCCCTTTCTCAAAATTTTGAATCATTTACCCCTTGACTTAAAGTTTCTTTATCATTTACGCCTCTAACTTAGGGGAAAAACTTTAAGTCAGGGGGTAAGTGATAAAAAAAATCTAAATAAAAATGTAAATGATTCAAAAAATTTATTAAGGAGTAAGTGATAATTAAGAAAAATCATAGGTTTTTTTTGAAGTTTTTCCTTTTATAAAAATTAAAGCTATTTTTATAAAAATATTTAGTTTTTTTAAAAAATATTTGGCTTTTGACTTCTGCTTTTTTTAGAAGCTAAAAGTTTTAGCTTCTAAAAAAAGTAAGTTTTTGACTTTTTGTGTAACTTCTACTTTTTTTAAAAGCAGATATCCATACAAACTTAAAGTAAGAAATGGTTTTTTTCCCTAAAAAAAGCAACTTTTGAAGAAAAAAAGCCCATCCAATTTATCAAAATAACCTTTAGCAATTGGTCCTTTATTTGTATTCTGCAAATGCAACTTTATATGTACTGACTGGAAGAATGAGTTCACTGCAAATATCAAAACCACAATTTTTGTGTTTTATTGACCTTACCCTCTTTTTATTTAAATTCCTGGCATATCCAGACCCAATTTCTAATCACAAATACCATCCACAAAAGTTATCACCTATTAGTTAAATCCAAAAAATAAAATAAAATAATATATCAGTTGACCCAATTATTGATTCAAGAAATTTAGAGTCAATTAGAATTATGTCCAATAAATATGGGTTGCACGTTAAGAGAAGAATCAATTTGAATTTGAAATATAATAAATTACGATTAAATCTAAGTTTAAATGAAGCAAAAGATATGATTATGATTTGTTTGGGAAATGATATTGTAACAATCAATTAAGATTACTACCAATGTCAGTACCAATCAATTTCATCGTTATATCGATTATGTTGATCCAACGATTATATTTATTTTTATCTTTGTATGGTTATGGTTCATCATATTTAATACTTTATATTTATTTTCACCTTTGTATGATTATGATTTTCCATATTTAATACTTTCACATTAAATATGTGGAATCATAACCGTATAAAGATGAAAATAAATATAACCATTTGATTCATATAATTGATCTAACAGTGAAATTGATTGGTAGTAACATTGGTAATAACCCTAGTTGGTTGTTACAATATCTACCCCTTTGATTGGTAAGAAAAAGAAAGCAACAAATTTGAAATGATTTGACATCTAAGATTTGAAACGTGTTTGGAAAGATTTAATTGTATTTATTTATTTATTTTTAGAAAATAATTATCATTATATTTATTTTTTAGGATTTTGAGTTTTAAATAAATTTATAATTAGTCTATAAAAAAATTACTTTAAGACCTTTATAGTATAAGTTGAATTTTATTATCTTGTTATAAATTGAAAATCGGAGAATTATTCTTTTAATAAATCCCAATTTTTAATTTAGCAATTTTTTTTATGCGTTTCAGTTAGCCAAGAACTTACTCCTATTCAGATTTTGACAAGGTATGGTATATCCAATTCTTGAAACTTGTGAAATTAGTCTTCCAAGTCGAAATCAGCAATCGGAAACCATAGAATAAACGCTCTCTTGCCGAACAATTCTCACCGCAATCTCATGCTGAAATATCTATAAAAGTTTTGGACCCAGATGTTATCTTGTTGAATCAACCCATCTAATGTTTCAAATTGACTGCTTACTTTTTGTGGCCGTACTTGGACCTTTTTCTGTCTCAAGAAGGCACAAACTATATGAAAGAAATTATATATATATATATATATATACGGGAGGTTATACTTATAAATTTTTTGTTTACAAATTCTTATAAATTATGATAAGTATGACCGGTCATACTTTAATCACGAGAGTATAACCGATCATACTTAGTGTAATTTGCAAAAAAAAATTGTAAACGGATACTATATATATATATATAGGGGTAGGATATTCTTAAGAGTTAGAAGTCTTACACTTAATTTTAACCATTAACCCACTTGTTTCCAATGATTCACATTGGTAAAAAATTAGAGCCCGTAAATATAAGTGAGATCAACAGACAAGATTAAGTGTGTAACTTACACTGGTGTAAAATGATCCCGACCTATATATATATATATATATATATATATATATATATATATATATATATATATATATATATAGGGTCAATATCATTTTACACTACTGTAAGTATATATATATATATATATATTTACAATTTTTTTTTATAAATTACATTATGTACTCCCGAAAATACATAGTATAGCCTACTGTACTTTCGAAAGTACATCATCTAATTTGTAAATAAAAATTTTGTAATTATAACCCTATCCATATGTAAAAAAAGATTTATTAATATCATGTAGTTGGAAACATCTTGTCTCATGTCATAGAGATGATATGTGGGTCCCTTTAGTTTTAGTTCGGAGTAACTATCATTTTTGGTTCCAAACAAAAAACATGGTCCCCACTTTAGTCCCTTACAAAAAAAATTAGTGAGTTGGTCCCTAACAAATTCAAAATGGACCCATTTAGTTGAAATTGTGGTCCCTCATAATTTTAAAAAAGACTCATATTAGTCTCTCAAAAGGACTAAAATGGGTCCACTTTGAATTTATTAGGGACTAACTGACTAATTTTTTTTGTAAAGGACTAAAGTGGGGACCGTGTTTTTTATTAGGGACCCAAAAGGGTATTTACTCTTTAGTTTTTTATTTTTTTATTTTTATAAAAGGTGGATTCCACATATTTATCTATATAACATAAGATAAGATGTCTCCAACAAAATGAGAAAATGTTTTTCCATATTAAAAATGATGGAAATTAGTTGTCTTCTGTCACATAATAATATTCTTATGTTGCACACATGAAATCTTGTGCCCATATTTTATTTTTTTTTAAATTATGAGCCCCACAACTTTGTTTCACCCACATAAAATACCTATCTTATTTGACATAAAATTAATAATTTCCAAAAATGATATATGCTCGTAAAAGTAACTCACATGAGCCTCACTAGTCACAATCACTAAATGAGTAGTTGATATTTTTTAATCTATTGCTTTAAACCCTGTCGAAAAATTCCCAACCACTAATTTAGTGATTGTGAGGGTTACATGAATTATTTTTTCTTTGCATATATTATTTCTGATATACAAATTATCTACAATAGAAAATAAACCTTACCTTATCTAAAGATGTGAATTTTCAAAGAACTCAGAATCAGGAATCTTATCATAAATAGTTATCCGTACACCCAACTAACATAAACATTTAATTAAATCACGCAAGGGAAGAATAACTCTATACATGTGAAGAGAGTTCCCTCTCCAATCTGATGTTACATTACAATAGAAAATAAACCTTGTCTAAAGATGATGTGAATTTTCAAAGCACTCAGAACAAGGAATCTTATCATAAATAGATATTCGTACACCCAACTAACAAAAACATTGAATTAAATCACGCAAGGGAAAAATAACTCTATACATGTGAAGAGATTTCCATCTCCAATCTGATTTGCACTCTTTATTCCTTAAGGATGATATGTAACTAGCAAAACCAAGGCTGTAGAGTCTGTAATGACCATGCTATAGTATGATTTAGGTGCTGAACTTCTGCTCAATGGTGCTTGCTGAGGCCTGCATCATTCAGTAACACCAGTGTTATATCATTGCTTATATCAAATTTTTTCTGTAATTCTAATTTTTGCTCACCCATATTAAAACATTCCCACATAAGATAAATTCCCTCTCTTTTCATTCCTTCTATTTATTAACTAAGAAAACTTGATCGTATTTGCTAATGATTAAAAGTTATATTTTCTATCTCTATCCTTCCAAAACAAAAAGAAGGAAAGGGATGTACTTTTCTGATTATTTATACATACAGTTCTAGGGATCTTTCACAATAAGGTTGGGAATCAAGACAATCAAAACAAATCCACATAGTAAGGAACATGAGATTATACTGACCCCAACTGATGTTACAAAATTGCAAACTGCACATTTCACGGATCTTGCTCCATATTGGTACATGAGTAGCATCCTGCAGCTCCCACAGTTAACATGTGCCACCTGATTTGCTGTCAAAATGCGCATTTGATGCTCACAAACAAAGTAGGGACTCAAAATCATAATGATTTAGCTCACAAAAGAAACATGCCTTAAAGTCTGTGCATATATATATATATATGCTTGCACGTATACAATTTTTTAAAGCTCATGAGCTCATTAATAGTTCAATACCTTCCAAAGCTAGATTGACAGTGTGACAACAAGAGCATTGTACACTTGTAGCTCCACGGATGTACATGAGTAAAGTATGGCAGCCTCCACAAATTAACTGGGCCATTTCTGTGCCTGTGTAACACATAAATGCTTGTGATTTAGCTGCCTCATGTTCAGTTGATTGAAAAGAGTGGTATAGGTAGCAAATTGAACATTCAAGTAACCTACAGACCAGGAGTTATATAGAGAATAGAGACATAGTGATGGAGAATTTCATCATACCAGGAGGTGGCACTGCTGTGACTGCATTGCAAACAGCACAGCACACAGAGGTTGCTCCAACTGGATAGACTAGAAGGTTTCTACACCCAGAACAGACAAGTTGACTCTGTGCACCTGGCAGCCAGGGAAGGTTTCAGCATAAAATAATTTTAAGTATCAAATAAAGGACCAAATGCTAAAGGTTCTAGCATTCAACCTATCCTAAATACAGGTTCAAGTTTCAAATGGTAAGCCATACCAGGTAAGAAATTGGACTATATTAGAGAACTTCACTTAAAAAGGTATATCAACAGCTATCTCAAATCACTGAACAAATCTTCATATCCAATCCATCATTTCTCCCATTAGGTAATGGGAACATGGAATTGTTTTTTTTTTTCTCTCTACTTGGCAACTTTTGTATTTCAATTTTATATTCCTCACTCTATCAAATGCCTTGTTCTTTAAAAAAATAACTTGTTCTCTACAGCATCATTATTAAACTTGGAAATTAGATTTCTTCCTAATGATGGAAAAGAAATAAATATTCAAATCTCCAATCATTCCATCACCAATGGGATGATGCTAAGATTTATTGGCGACCAAACACTGAGCAGACATCAATAAAGAGGAAATCAAGCACAGACTAAGCAAGATACCATTTGCTGGTGGTGTATATGGAGCTGGTGGTGTCGGGTAGGGAGCAAGTGGAACTGGCATTATAAAGGACTAAAAATGTTATCTTTCTCTACCAAACTCTACACAGAGAACAAACCACTTTATCCCATTTTTTCAACTCCTGGAAAATGAGGAAATATCATAAGGATTCAATAAGGGGTGAGAAAATGATGTACATGGTGATGGAACTAGAAGGCATGAAAAGTGAAGTGAAACTTGTCATTCATAAAGTGAGAAGGAAACCTGTGAAGCAGAGGGTGCCAGCAAATCAAATAGTAAAGCAGATAAAGTAAGAGTCAAATGAGAAGCTTCCCCTTTGAAGTAGGAAGTTATGCATGAAGCCAGAAGAAGAAAGGAGCACAGAAGCAATGAAGAGTTAAGGCCCTTTCACCAGAAATGGTATTTATTTAATTGAGTTAAGTAGGAAAGGGGGGAAATGGATTGTATAAGTCCTTTTGGCAGCTTGCTAGTTGCTACTTGCTACTTGCTACAGATGAAGTGGAGAGATGTAAAAGAAATGGAGGAAAAGGATATAAGCGCACACCAGAAAGAAATTGATTAAGAAAATGTTATTGCAAGTAAAAGAAGCACTAAAAAACCATTTCTGTAAAAAAAAATACCAAAAAATATAAAAAACAGCAAAATAGTAATATGGACCAATATGAAAATCGGACCGGACTAGTTGGTCTAACTTGTTAGAAATAATCAACTGTGAGTAGTGATTAGGGCTGTAAATAAGCTAGGCTAGACTTTGATTTAAATAGACCAGACCTATAACAAAAAAAAAACTTAGGCCTTGCCTGACCTATTAGCATGTGTAGGCTCAAATTATAAGTCTGATCTGATCAATATTTAAAAAATAAAAATCTTGGCATAGGCATGTTTAAGTCCTATTAAACTTTCAATAATTAAAAAAATAACTAAAATAATATTACATTATTATTCAAAATTATTAAAATAATAATTTTATTTATTTTATTTAAAATAAATAATATGATATAGGCCGGATTGTAGGCTTATAGGCCCAACATGTACAAAAAAAGCCTATGACCTGTTTTCTAAATAGGTTTTTTTAAAAGCCTATGCCTGTTCTATTTGACTATTTGTAATAGGCCAAGCTTAGAGTTGTTCTATTTGACTATTGTAATAGACCAAGCCTGGTCTAATATAGACGAGGCCGTAGGCCGGCGCTTAAGCGCCCTGGTGCACTTGTGCATGGAGAAATTCTCTGCCTCAGGAGGCTTAAGCGCCCAAAATGAATGCTTAAGTGCGCTCAGGGGGCTTAAAAATTCTCTTTGAACAGAAACTTAAAAATTATCTACACGAGGGGGCTTAAGCGCCTAGTAAGGGGGGGTTAAGCTCCCAACCCCTGTTTTAGGAAAAAACAATTATCTCTTAAAATAAGAAATAAGGACCATCTAATTAGGTCTAATAAAGATAGTAAATGATGTAAGCATAGTTTTAGTTATTCTGCAACTTCACACGGTTATAATCACGAAATTGGTAGATTAAATTACGGTCTTGTTAATAAAAGAAATGAGCAACGTTTTAAAAAGAAAAATTTCTCCGTATTTTTAATTGAACCAATGTGATTGTAATTGCGCTTAATGTCATAAAGTAATGATAACAAACCGGTTCTAGAACGGAGTGCCGACCTAGTCCATTTACACCCCTAGTAGTGATGAAGTTCTACATTGATTAGAAATGTTCCAAGTGAGTATCATATAAGTGCAAAAAAAACCAATACAATTTGATCCTTAAGGTTTTGGGTTGAAATGTGGTGTCAACTCACTTATTGTTGTTTGTCATTTGACCCATTGGTGAAAAAATTCTTTGCAAAGGGTTTTGCGCTCCCCATACCATTCTCAACAGTGGTATTAGAGTCAAATGTTTGGCTAGGTCCAAGTATATGGAGATGGTGATGAACTTGAATAAGCCTCTGCAGAAGGCTAGTGTGACTCCAATACTTAAAGAGAAAAGACTTTCGCAGAAGTTGGGGGAGCATGATGTTGGGCCTCACACTTGAGGGGAGGATGTTAGAAATAATCAAGTGTGCATAGTAATGATGTTCCACATCGATTAGAAATGTTCCAAGTGAGTACCATATAAGTGCAAAAAAGACTCATACAACTTGAGCCTTAAGGTTTTGGGTTGAGATGTTGTGTCAACCCACTTATTGTGGTTTATCATTTGGGCCCATTGGTGGATGTATCCCTTGCAAAAGATTTTGGGCTCCCCCGTATCATTTTTAACACAAACGGTCCACCTAGAAACCAGATCACCATTCAGTCCAATCAAACCAATGAATCGTATGTGCACTTGAGTCTCAACCATATGAGTGACAACTATCATTATGTCAGTGGTTCATTTGTGTTGTTTTACTACTAATATATACTTTTATATAAATTCAAATCAAGTGGTTCAACATGTGACCCACCAGTTGGATCAATAACCCCTTGAATCGGTACCCAACTGAGTTGATGATCGATCCGACTTTCATAACATTGATATGGATTGTATAGCACATGTGGACATGGAAAGTGTGCAAAGTGCTATTACATGCTTTTTAGTGTAAAAATATTATTGTGACGTTTGTAACAGCCTGTTACGTACCGGTAATATTATCATTGCATATGGTATTAAGCGCAGTTACAATCACAATCATTGAGTTAATTAAATTACGGGTAAACTTTTTCTTTTATTACATCATTAACTTTAAACAATAACCAATTCCGTAAACAATTAAAAACAACACCGTAATTGTAAGTGCAAAAAACTATGAAAGCATTAAAACTTATTTATTATAACCCCTCCAAGCAATACCATTAACTTTAGGTTATAAAAACGCTTATTTTCAAAATTTACACTGTGGTAATCGATTACCCTTCTTGAGGTAATCGATTACCAGAATTCCAGAATGAGGCAATAGCTCAATTTGGGCTTTCCTATTTTGGGTAATCGATTACCTTGATGTAGGTAATCGATTACTGAACTAGGTAACCGATTACCAAAGAAAGGTAATCGATTACCTTGATCATAGTGGCTCAATTTTTGCGTCCTCTGTTTCAGGTAATCGATTACCAATGAAAAGTAATCGATTACCCTTCTGTAAAAATGGCAGTTGACAGCTTTTAAAACACAAAATGGGTTATGTTTCCTACCCTTGACACTTTACTACTACATATACTACTCACACAAAGACTAATGTAGGCTCCAGGCCTTTCCATCATGCATGTTCATTATCCAATGTGTCTATTACAATGGTTCCCAATACCATAACCATTTTAAACATCAAATGGTCTATTTACAACACAATGTCTCCAAATGCCTTTAAGCACCAAATATGTGGCCATGGACAAGTCCCATGCTCACTCAAAATATCAATACAAATTATAGACATCAATGTACGACAACTACATAGACTTAGAATCTAGTCATGAACACCCAAAAGCATGGCAATAATAACATGCAATATGTTCATGATCTAAGTCCAAAACACTAAATGTAATGCTATGTGCATCAAATAATACTCCTCCAAAATGCCATGCCCTCCGTATGCACATCATGCTCAAACTCCTCTAAGCAGGCCTCTTGCCCGATGGTCCTCCATGCTCACCATAACCTGAAATGATGTCCCCAAACGCGGGTGAGATATACAAATATATCTTAATAAACCAAGGGTACTAGAGGATCACTCCACCTCATGACTCACTCAATGTGCAACCAATAACATCATGTAAAATGCATAACATACAAAATCACCAAACAACTGGGCACAAATCCAAGAACATCCACATAAGAATTCCGTTCAAGGACCCCATCATATAACTCCCGGGAAGCTTCCTGGTGCCTCTCCCATGGATGAGACGACCCCATGGAAAAACCCAACTAGAACTCCTCATGAGCCCTATCCAGCGAAAGTCCCACGTTTGGATCATCCTGGTGCCGCTCCCAGAGTCGGCCCCACGGCAAAATCCGACCGAAATCTCCAAAGGATATCTCCAGCGGAAGTCCAAACCACACACATCTACTGGCCAGAGATCACAAATATATCACACAATTCAAGCAACAATGCATGAACATACATAATCACACAATGTCAAAAGAACAAAATCCGACCACAACCTTTCACTAGGTGTGGTGGAGCACACAAGGGATTAAACTCAAGTTCTAAAGGTTTACCTCAACTCCGCAAATATTGCTCTTCCACGTAAGCTCCAAGCTTACTCCATTTCTATTGCGTCCGTGAGAGTATATGATCAAACAACAATGATCATCAATACAATTTCAATGAAATCAATTCACTTTCATATTACTGATTCCCCAAACCTATTCACTTAGGCCAAAGGGCTATTTTGCCTTTATTTTTCCTTAATCATTCTTATAGGTCAAGTTCCCACACATACATATATGTACCAAATTCTTCCTTCCATTCCACAACATCACACCAACCTACCATCCATATAAACACCATCCACAATCATACAACATCAATTATATCATTTTTACCTCACCAAACCATTCATGACTTTAATAGGTCGAATTCTTCAAGGAATCACACTCCAAGGTTTTTAATCCAATTCAACACTTATACTCATTATATAATCCTATGATTAATTCATACCAATGTTCCACAACCCAATTATTCAATCATACCATCATCCCAAATCATAAAGTATTGAAATTCAACTCAAAATTTCACTAAGTTACAATTTTACAAATCACCATAAATTTTATTGCATCAATCATCATCGTTTATCATTCTAAGCATTTAATTCCAAAGGAGACAAACCATTTAATGCTCCTAACTACCATAACTCAACACACATCATCAAAACCCTCACTAATTTTATGATCTCATGAAAAATTCAATGAGAATGAGAAAACTTACCACCAATAGCTTCCAATGGTCCAAGGGAATGATCTCCAACCAATGGTTCAAAGCAAAAAGTCCCCAAATTTTCCCAAAAGACCAATATTTTCGTGGCTGTAAATGGGGTATATCTCCTCCCACAATGATCCCCACAAGGGGAACAACTTTGTAGTTGAGAGTTTATCTCAAAAACGGCTAGAAAAGGGAGTTGTAGTTCAAAGAGCTCAAACCACAACAATGGCCAAGACTTCCACGGGAAGAAGGAGAAGGAGGAGAGAGAAAATGGGAGAAAAATCAGATTTCAAGTCACTTTATCCACTTAAGTCACTTAAGTGGGTTCCACATGTCACTTAACTTTATTAAATCACCCAATTTAATCCACAAATTTATAACCTACGTATTTTTTCTCGTTCACGTCATATTTTTGCGCTTATCGGTACAATTATACCGCAGTATTTTATACCGAAAAAATCACTATTCATCAAATTTTCTGAAACTTGCCTATCCACTCGATTTGTTGTCATGAGTCCATTTTCGACATTATTTTTACCATTTGAGGTCTTCTCCTCAATTTTTCTTACCTAGGGTTACATGTTTGGTAAATTACCATTTTGCCCC